TTTTTTTTTTTTTTTTTTTTTTTTTTTTTTTTTTTATCATCTAATTGATCGGTGACGACGGTACAGTTTCAGCGTCATCCCGGTGACTTCAGTCAACCGTATACGCAACCAGTAGCGGCAGCAGCAGCAGCTATCAATGTCGGGGCAACCGGTTATGACCACACCACAGCTACTGCCGCTGCTGCTGCTGCTGCCGCTGCTGCTGCACGGTATGTTTATTTATGAAAAGTTCCAATTTTTTTCTATTTGGACAATCAAAAATCACCTTTAATATTTGGAAATCAAAAACAGACGGAAAAAAAATGTAATCTTTCAACTAAAATAAGTTCTTCATTGTTGTACAACAGAAAAGAAAATTATAGTTTAATAGTATTAAAACTTTAATCCGGCTGAAAAAAATAACTTTTTGATAATACGTCGATGTAAAAATGAAAAAGAAAGTGTTTTTTGAACAAAAGTTACAAAATTTTTATGTTATTATTCTGTTTTAGCTATAGGCCAGAATTATGCTACTTTAACAAAAGCAGTTTGATAACCGACTATTGGTTTATACTTATAGTATCTATTAAAATTATCAGTAGTTTTTTTTTCCAGTAGCATTATTTCTTTTTAAGAAGAAGGGAAGTAAGATTCATTTATCTCAGCCATTTTACTTAGCAGTTAATTTCGTTACTTTCCTGCCTTGATTCGTTTTTCTTTCAATTTTGACTTTTTTTTTGGTTTTGTTTTATAGCTTTCAACAGTTTGTTACATTCGGTGACAGTTTGAATGGTCAACAAATTCCAACAAATCCAATTCTGTGCTATCAGCCACAGCAAAGTAGCTGTGAAAATTTGTCGACGACCACACCGACTGCGGCCTGTTCCGAAGAAATTGGAACTTATAACAGCAGTCCAAGTCGAGTCACACAGCCGACATATTATCCAGGGTTCCAAGAAATCCCACAAGTTCCAGTATTTTCCGGTTGGTGTCAGCGATATTCTACTAGAAAAGAAGCAAAAATTTTGACAGTACTGCGTCAAGTTATTGTTAAAAAGTTACGATACAGCTCACCTGGCCTAACAAGATAGATATATGTTGTTGACTCAGGAACTAATTCCGGGCGTAATACCCCGACAGTAGAAACTGAGAATGAAACAGATGAGCGTGTTATGTGTATGGCATGTCGGGGGGTGTATCCATCACGCAGATCTCTTACTGGACATATCGGAAGAAATGAAAAGTGTCGTGAAATAATTGGTGAATTTTTACGGTGTTGGCAGTTTATAAAAAAGCTCAGTTTTTTGTGAAATATATTTTGAAGTAAAATTGTTGAAATTTTCAGGTCGCAATTATTTAGATCAACTTGGAGGTTGTGCAGATAAGGTGTCAGTTTCTGGAAGTCCTGCTGGAACCGTTGGACCGACAGAAACCATTAGTCCGATATGCCCATACTGCGACAGGTTTATCAGTCATTATAAAGTAATGTTTAAGAGTGTTGTTGACTGTTGCGTATAGTGCCTCATTGTTGCGGTATTTGAAAGGTGAGCTGATAAAAAAGAAGTTTCTAGGGCAATATTAGAAGACATATTAATCAGTGCCTAAAGTCAGATAAATCGAGAGCTAAAAAGATGGGCGGACGAAAGCAAGGTTAGGATTAAAGTCTTCCTTGTCAATTTACTCTCCTTCTCGCCCTCTCTATAAATTGCACATCTAGCTAATTTTCTTTTTTTTTCTTCTAATTTACTTTTTGTTTCGCTTTTTTTTCGTTTGTGAAATTTGGCTTTTGTTAAACTGTCGGGCGCTTTTGAAATTTAAATGTCAATACTCTTTCCTTAGACAATTAAACGCAATACATTATTTAGAGAATGAATTTGGCGGAAATGGGTATAATAATAACCTCGAAGGCTATGATGGCTATCGGCCGCATATGTTAACGACAACGAGTCTTGGTGAAACTCACTGGAGTAATCCATCAAATGTAAATGCTCAACCGTCTTCTCAAGTTTCATACACAAAAGACGGCAAGAATAACGATGATCCATATATGTGTTCAGTCTGCGATTTTGTTACTGTTTATAAGGTTCGTGTCCTGGATACTGTGTCATCTAAAAGACACTACAGACACAGTGCATTACAGGATATTTTAGGGTAATATGAAACGTCATCTAAGTACATGTCATAGTATCACTGAAGAAGACTTAGGAGACGGGGGTCTAGACAGTCTACGCGTTAGTCGACGGTCTGGCGATTTACATGCTAAAATTGGAAAGGTGTCTCGGGGAAGACGTCCAAAAAGCGTCCAAGTAAGTCTTACAAATTGCTGCGCACTAACTTGGTTGGTTATTTTGTGAGGAAATCAGAGTTGATTCTAGTTGCAAGACGAGTGTCGAAAAAAAGCTAAAATGGAACTGTTAAAAGGCTGTTCACCAGCGGTATCAGAAAGTACCGCAGGGCCGAGCGATACCAAAAGTCCGGCTAGTTCTAGCGGGAACATAATGGAAGGTTTCGCTGACAGTAACTCAAATTCCAGTAGCTCAGTTCAGGAACACTTTAAAGCGTAAGCTGTACTATAAATACAAAGTTAGTAAATAACTCACTTAAACAAATTTGGAAAAAAAATTAAAACTTTTTTATAAAATTATGAGAAACAATGAATTTTATTTGCTTAAAATCAAGTCTCGTCGAGAAATAAAGCCCATACTGCTTACTGAAGATAGAAACAGTGAGCGCTGCGTAGCAAACAGTTAAACTATAGTGTTCTCTGTTGCTTTTTGAGAACGTTTCTGGGTAGCAGATAAACGTAAGTGAATAGATTGTAGGTGAACAACCTAAAGTTTTCCGTAGATTCTGAAGAAGTCAAATTGTTTTCTTTTGCAGTTTCATTTTTTTTAACAATAATTTGTTAAAATCTTTTAGCACATATTTTTTCATCGCTGAGATGATTTATAATCTGTTTACTGGAACATAAACTTTTAATTATTTGTACGGGTAAAACTTTGAAAGCCAATAAATATCTTTACAAATGCTTAAAGCATTATTAATTTTAAATCCTTTTTTTTGACTATTTGCTTTTTATTTATTTTACGGTATTGGTAGTTAATGGAGAACCACTGAATAAAAAAAAATAAAGGACCTTGATCTCAAAAGGCTTATTAGTCGTTTACTAAAACTGAAAATTTCTTCTTTACAAAACTGTAGGGTATTTCTGTCTGATTATAATGGAGTCGAAGAAGAAGAGCAAAGAAGGCAACGTCCACAATATCGGTGTTAATATAGTTTTCTAACTGTCTTCTACAATTAACCTAAAAGGGTTAACTTTTGATTCTTCCTCAAAAAGTTTGACTACCGATTGCTATTATAGTGTTTCAGTGAGTTCTGTCAATGTGAAATGGCTTCTTTGATCGTGATAAAACTGAGGAATTTAAATGAGAAACATTTGAGGACAGTTGACCAATAACAACAGAAAGAAGATTTGAATTTTTTGAATTTTTAGTTCTTTCAGTGATAGCGACTGTCAGTCACAGTCGACAACGATAAACGATTTACCGAATATAGTAGAAACTGAGTCTTCTGGTGATGCAAATGTATATACATCACAACATCCTGAAGAGCATCAACAAACCTGTGATATTAGTGATAGTAAATTATCTGTTCCAAGTGCTGTATATTCTGTTGATAATACTCCTTTGGTTGACGGGCTAAATCGTAATACGGGTAACACCACTTCAACGAGTAACATCGATGAAATTATTAATGCTGTGGCTTCAAATCAACTCGGGAATGTTAGCAAAAAACCAGTAAGACAGGTATTATGACGAGCTGTTAACTACAATTAAGGCAGCAAATGTTAAACAAATCTTTATTTCTTCTTTGTGTTTGGTGCACTTTTTAACGGAAAATAAAGTTTATATCAGTTTATAAATTAATTAATTAGAAATGTATTTTATTAGCTTTTTAAAGGCAAAAACACCAAAAAACAGTGGACGACGATTGGTAGCTCCGAAGGCAGTTTGCAATGTGGAGGAAGTTCGTGGCTACTGGGAACCCGAGCAAATAAATTCGAATTCTTCCAACTTTTCTGCTACTTATTTTCCAAAGTTTCCAAACTCTCAATTTGCTGGTAATTGAAATTTTTGGATTAAAATTATTTTAAACTTTTTACTTTTTATATTTTGTGCACATAATCTAACAATCTTTTGATTAAGTGGCGCCATTTCAAATGACGACGAAAGAAGCTGCTTCGCTCTATGAACAGTGAAGTGGCAACAGCAAAAGGTACTGTTTCAATGCCTTTTCTAGCTTTTTAATTGATATTACAATAAGTATTGTAGCTACACATTAGGTTTAAATTATATGTTCTCAGACGGCGTTAACTTAACTTTTCTTGTCTTCTAATTCATTTTTTTTTTTTTTTATAAACTTTACTGCGTCTGCCTTTTTTTGAATCGTTTGTTGCGGACTTTATTTAAGAAGACCAATAGCTGTAAAGATTTAAATTTTGTCAAAATTTAGACAATTATTGTTGTATGGAAAACTGCAACATAAAAAGAAGAGAAGTTTTTGCTTTTTCTTTTTTGTAAAACCAAAATCTTCTTGCAAAGCTTTTGTGTTTACACTTATTAAAGTATACTAAATTGTGGCTTATCTGTATGTGTATATTTGTGTGTCTGTGTGTGTGCGTGCGTTTTTATAAATTGTTTACAAGTAAACAC